CCTGTGTCTAGCCCCATCAGCCTTCCATTCAACCAAACTTTATTGAGTACCTACCATGTACCCATTTCTCAGCTGAGCCCAACTGAATCCTGTCTTCCTGGCCACATGCAAACCCCACCTGGAACTGACAGGTGCTTGGCTAAAGGAACAATGTTCCCAAGGACCTAGAGTAAGATAAATCTTTGGGCCATTTGACCTAGAAACTATTGCCGAGAAGAAAGAGCACATTCTGGAATAGGCATGAGAACACAGGCATAGGGCTGTGCTCTCTCCAACTCCAGCAGCCAGGCAAGGCAGTTGGATGAGACGATGCAAACCCTGTCATGTTTCCCCACCTGCTGTTAAGAAATGTCCTGTCCGAAGACCTAAACAGATATTTCTCCAAAGAAGATAGACAGACGGCCAACAAACACATGAAAGGATGCTCAACATCACTAATCGTTAGAGAAATGCAAATCAAAACTACAATGAGGTATCACTTCACACCGGTCAGAATGGCCATCATCAAAAAGTCTACAAACAATAAATGCTAGAGAGGGTGTGGAGAAAAGGGAACCCTCTTGCACTGTTGGTGGGAATGTAAATTGATACAGCCACAATGGAGAACAGTACGGAGGTTCCTTACAAAACCAAAAATAGAACTACCATACGACACAGCAATCCCACTACTGGGCATATATCCTGAGAAAACCATAATTCAAAAGGAATCATGTACCACAATGTTCACTGCAGCTCTATTTACAATAGCCAGGACATGGAAGCAACCTAAGTGTCCATCGACAGATGAACGGATAAAGAAGATGTGGCACATATATACAACGGAATATTACTCAGCCATAAAAAGAAATGAAATTGAGTTATTTGTAGTGAGGTGGATGGACCTAGAGTCTGTCATGTGGAGTGAAGTAAGTCAGAAAGAGAAAAACAAATACTGTATGCTAACACATATATATGGAATCTAAAAAAAACAAAACAAAAAAATGGTTCTGAAGAACCTAGGGGCAGGACAAGAATAAAGACACAGACATAGAGAATAGACTGGAGGACACGGGGAGGGGGACGGGTAAGCTGGGACAAAGTGAGAGAGTGGCACGGACATATGTACACTACGAAATGTAAAATAGATAGTTAATAGGAAGCAGCCCCATAGCACAGGGAGATCAGCTCAGTGCTTTGTGACCACCTAGAGGGGTGGGAGAGGGAGGGTGGGAGGGAGGGAGATGCAAGAGGGAAGAGATATGGGAACATATGTATACGTATAACTGATTCACTTTGTTATAAAGCAGAAACTAACACACCATTGTAAAGCAATTATACTCCAATAAAGATGTTTAGAAAAAAGAAAAAGAAATGTCCTGCGAATTCAATATTTTATAATAACCTATAACGGAAAAGAATCTGAAAAAGATATAAACTGAGTCACTTTGCTATACACCTGAAACTAACACAACATTGTAAATCAACTATTCTTCAATTTAAAAAAAAAAGTGTCCTGCCCTCTATGAGTTGCATTACTGCCAGGTGTTCTGCATCCCTAGGTGTGGTTCTCGGATATCTCAGCTCGGTGGTTTGGGGTGCGGGGTGTAATCTGCTTGGACTCACTTCCCCTGTGGGAAAGGGATGGGATGGCCAAAGAGCCCTGGGCATTCCCAGGCACAGAAGCAGCAAGAATGTGAGGATATCCTGAAGAAAGTGGTCTGCAGAGTGGTCAGATAGTGGACAGAGGGCATGGGCCGGGGGAGGGAGATGCAGGCTCCTGCTGACTAACCTTCTTCTCTTCCACTGTAAGAGTCCCACCTCTGAGCAGCACAGAGACCCGAAGGAGAGAAGGTCCCAGAAGTTGATCTATAGGATGTGCCAAGAAAAGTTTCCCGATTCATCGGAATCAGTGAACTAAGCCACAAGCAGTGAGAGTAAAAACAGCTACATCCATCTCATGAGGAAGAGAGAAAAACATAGTAAGGGAAGAGGCCGCCCTTCCAAATCTGCTCTAAGCCAGGGGCTCTTGGCATTTTTTAAAATCCATGCCGCATTGTAATAAACATGAAAACCTCTCATCCTCTTTTAAAGAGTTGTATAAATGTCAAGTAAATTAAGTATATCAACTTCAATTACGTAGAAGGCGTAATGGTGATCTAAGCATATCCTTTTTGAACTCAGCTTGCTACTTCTCCCTGTCTCCAATTTTCCTACCCCCATTCCCACCCCACCGCCTGAGATTCTAATGTGCCCTTAATTGGGAAACTCTTTTTGTCCCCCAACTAGAAATATTCAGTTTAAACTTATTTTAGATTGTGACCTTCTTGAGGCACTGTCTTAATCTTCTTGGATATTCTTAAGTCTTCTTTGGGTCTCTGGCTACTCAGAGAAGTGGGGCTCAGGAAGAGAAGAGAGGTTAGCTGGCACAAACCAACATCCCATGAGTGCTATCACCATGCCTAGTAAATGGCCTGATATAGTCACTGCTCAATACATGTTGATAAAAGATTACATGTGTGGGTGGGTGGATGGATGGATGGATGGATGGGTAGAGGTAAGGGATGTCAGATCATTATCCACACTTCTTTAGGACCAAAGTTAATTTTGTGCTATAACCTTGGGCTTTAGGGGACCATCATCTGGGAGAAAATGAGATCTGGGGAGTGGGCAGATCCTCAAAGAGAACCGGCAAGTCTTTACCAACCTCCTTTTTCCCATGTTTGTTGGGAACACCCAACTTCCCAGACCTCAGCATTCTCACGCGGGCAAAGCCCCTTGCCTTTGAGCAGCCACAGATTGTCGCTGGGCGCAGAGCAAGCCAGATCACACCAGAAAATCTTTCAGAGAGGCTCAGAAGACTCCCAGACTCCACACACAGGAAAGCTCAGTGTTATGACCCGCCTGGACTGCAGAGAAAAGAAAGGAGACAGCCCACGGCTCACACTGACAAACCAGAGGACATCAAGCGAAACAGGAAGGGGTCTAGAGTTGTGTAATATGTGATCGACCATTGAATGAACTGAAGATAGTCAGCCGCTTGGTGGGGGAAGAGTAAAGGTGGCCGCTGAGAGTTAACAGCCCTCTTCAGGAAGTTGAATGACAGTATGTTGAAAGTACATTTGAACATTTAGATCTAGAAAACAAAACTATGACCAAGGGGACACTTACTTAATTTCACACAAGGAAGCAGTTTTTAACAATTAAGGCTGTCCCACAATGGAATATTCAAGTCTATCATTGTTAAGAGGTATGATGAGTAAGTTTCCTTTCAGCGGAAGAATTGAAACAGCAGCTGTCTGCTCGTCTGTCTGAGCTGTCGTGTGAGAGGTTTCTCTGGTGGAAGGGAGGCGGGGCTGGATGATTCAAGCTCTCTTCCACAACTCATTTTTTCAGGTGAGACATCCAGGCCATTCTCACTCCTCACCCCATCCACCCGGACTCAGACTCAAGTTTCAGTTCAAGGGTCTGACTGTGAATCACTTCCCCACTTAGAATTTAGGAATCTTCAAACTCCTAGGTTTATTGGTAGAAAATTCTATTTTCCCCCAGAGGTGTGCAGACCTCAACGGGGAGCTGGCCTCTTTCTCTCTTAAAGGGACACACTTAACCAAGGGATGATGGAAAGCTTCACTTAGGAAGGTCTCCTCAAACTCTGTCTCTGGGTTTCCACTTCTCTATTTTTCTCTCCTCTCTCCACACCCCCATACTCCAAAGGGTTGCTCAGCAAGTGCTTTGGAAAGGTCCTCCCTTGGGTCCCTGTGTTCTAACTCCATCCTGGTAAGCCAATTAAGTATTCTTTCAGCTCATCTCTGAAAGGCAACTCACACTAGAGTCTCTGCCTAGAGGTCACCAAACTCTTTTAAGGAAGTGGTCTACAGCCCTTTAAAGAGAGCGTCGCTAGGAAGTATGCTGAGGAACACCGAACACCCTTCTTTCAGCAACCTGGTGTCACACTCCTCAGCCTTCTCCATCTCCATCACACTGTGGTCTGAGCAGGGCACAGGCCCAGTGCCAAGCGTCCCGGGGTACCTGTTCACATCGCCACCCCAATCCAACTGAGTACTGCAGTATTGAACCCCTTACCCTTAACTCAGGTATATGAGGAATTTGGAACTCTAAAAATGTTTAGTTTCCCTTTACACCCCGACTCCACCCACACTGGACACAAGGAATGCATGCAAATCGGGTGCCAGGAACTGTCCAGAGAGCCCCAAAGTTGACCTTCAGACTAAATCCTGAAACTGACTCTGGGTTGCCAACATCGTCAAAGCCGGGGGTGGGTAGCCTGGCCAGGGACACCAAGCCTGGTAGGTGCTCAGTAAGTAGTGATGCCGAGTGACTCTCAGCACAGATTTGGGACTTGGGAGAAGTGACTGGGCTCTGTTTCTTCATTCATCAATACGGAAGTTGTTCTTGGGTTCCAGAGCTTGACCTTGTCTAAAATGACACAATTTTCTGATTCAAAGGGACATTTTCCCTCAACCTCTTCTGTTTCAGATGAGGAAATCTATGTCCTGGGAAGCACGCTGACTTGGGCAAGCTTACACTCGTCTTTAGAGCCTGGTCGTCTGCCTCCAGGGCCTAGCTCCAGTGAGCCCTTCCAGACCAACTGTCCTGGACCCTAGGAGACAGATGGTTCTGGATATTAGGAAAAGGAACACAGCGGGCACGTGGCAAAGGGTAAAAGGAGCCTGCAGTCTACTCCTTGGCTCTCTCTGGCAAAAGGCAGTGCTATTAGCATAAAGCCCTTAAGGAAATATTTATTCTTCACAATCCTTCCTCTTCCACCATAGCCATCCATAAGAGCTCAAAGTACAGAGCAAAGCAAAACAATCTCCCGAGGAGGTCTCTGCCTCAGACTGTATTCAGATCTGGAGCAAGAAGCTCCAGAGAACCACTTACTTCTGAATTCAATGTTGCCATAATCCCAGCTAGGTGTGTGTGTTTCAGGGGACACTGTGAACTGGCTTGGAGCCCTACCGGAGGTGTGGCAAGCACCTTCTAAGTGTTCCCTAAGCAACTCTCATTGAACCTTTGGGGAATAATTATTATCTCCCATTGATGACTCAGACTGTTCAGCCACATGAGTGTTGAGTGCCCTGTTATGCTAATAAGGTCAAGTCAGTAGACAAGAGAGCAGTCAGGTCTTTAGTTCCAGGCCAAAAAACATATGTCCAATAGATAAGTTTAATGAGGTTCCCTAAATGAAAGTAGCTCATGGCTACTTGACAATGGTCATGTGACAAAGTTCTGGCAGATGTTAACTTCTTTTTTTTTTAATATTTATTTATTTATTTTGGTTGTGGCACGCGGGATCTTTTAGTTGCAGCATGAGGGCTTCTTAGCTGCGGCACACATGCAGGATCTAGTTCCCCGACCAGGGATCGAACCCAGGCCCCCTGCATTGGGAGCGTGGAGTCTTACCCACTGGACCACCAGGGAAGTCTCCAGATGTTGTTAACTTTTAAGGACAAAAAAGGGAGACCCTGTATGGCTAGAACAGTCACGCTAGAGGAACAATGTTGTAAGAATTTTAGTTTGGGGGAAGATCCTTTCTTTTGCAGGGTTGTTTGTGTTCATGACTTGGATGATCTAATTCATCTTCAGTTCTTCCATGACCCAGGCCAAGACTGAAAATAGTTGATAATACAATCATGTGCAACTCACATTTTCTAGATACAAATAATTTGGAACACAGCCTGCCTATTGCTCTGAACGATTCACAGATTGCTCGTGTGAAGACTACGTGAGACTTTCAAACGTCTGCCTAGCTGTCGCCAGGCACCAGGTCAGGCGGATATCAGTGACTGCCTAAGTCCACATTCCAGGAACTTGTACCCTGAAATGTCTGCATGGCTCAGCAAGCCAAGAACTTCATGTGCACACAGTACCCATGCTGATGAAAACACTCCATGGTGGCCACCCCTGGAACTTCTCCAAATCCTATTGCCAGAGGCAACCAAAGTAAGTGCTGTAATCTAATTGGCTAAGACATCCCTTAGCTTATGTCAATTATCTTGTAAGCTACACAGAAACACAGCCATTCCAGTTTTATCGCTAGTTTTCTTCTAAGCCTTGTCTGCTGGCGAAATAGAAGTGAGACAATGCACAGGAAAAGAACCAAGGGTTATCGGCGTGGGAAGGGACCTCAGAGCTCATTAACCCAGCTTCCTACTTCACAAAGAAGTAAACTGAGTTTCTGACTAAGTCATGTTCCCTAGAAGCAGAGCCGGAAACACAGATTCAGGCACACATGGTTTACTGAGGGAGTGCGCTTCAAGAAAAACTTATGAGGGAGCAGGTGGAGCAGTACAGAAAAGAGGAAGGTGCTGAGAAAGGCTACGACCGCAAGAAAAGTCTAGCCTTGGCCTGGAGGGCTCTGGCTACGGGCCTCCCCTGGGATGGGAGGATCTGCTGTCCTAACGGCCTTGGATAATGCTCTAGAGAAAGGAGCAGCTGGGAGCTGTTAGTTAGCAGGCAATGCCACGGCAGCTGGGGGATGGTTCCAGTACTGGGGATCTGCGCAAGTCCCAGGGGTAGTACCAGAGCACCAGAGAAATGTCTCTATAGAACGTCTGTATAAATACATATTTTTATTAACATAAATATATAAACAAATGTCTATACATGTCTCTCTCCAGAGATATATAGAGGCAGAGAGACAGACATACAGAGGCAGAGACAGAGACACAGAGAGAGACAGATAGACACAAAGACAGAAAGAGACACACAGAGAGGGACAGGGAAGACACACAGGCTCGATGGGCCCGGCAGAAGCTGAAGCTCTACGGGAGCATATACTGTGAGCAATGGAGATGCTGATCGAGAAAACACATTGAGCGAAGGATGAGAAGTCTAGGCCACCAGAGCGCGGAGCAGATGCACAGAGGGCGTGTGTCTGTGCTGTGTTCATGGCAGAGCTCTAAAACGATGAGCCATGACCTCCACGACTGAAGCAGAGTTTTATAAGTGAGACCAGGGAGTTGGTAACCTAGGGAACACATTTGTCCATGAGACCAGGACAGAGACGGAGGCATGAGCACAGCTACAGACTATAGGAGGACACCCAGCAGTCAGCAGCGTGCAGAGAAGCTGGGGGCTGACACAGTAATGACCACAGAATTACGGCCCGGGTCATGAATCCAGTGACAGAGCTGTTGTCAGGGGGATGGGAACAGGCTGCACTTGTGTGTGTGTGGGGGGGGGGGGCGGGGGGCGTTTGGGAACAGCCTTAGGGAAGTCATAGGTAGGGGTCATGACACAGCACAAGCCCCAGGGAGACTTGGCAGATGCACAGCCCTGGGCTGGTGGAAGGGGGATCGAGGGCATGTGTGACGGCAGACGGAAGGCAGGGACCTAGCCCAAGCAACAGGTGCCAGCAGGACTAGTGGCCAATTGCATCTTCTTGGGAGGGTTTCTTTGATCCCTCCTCATTGGTCCCAGAATGAAGGACACCCTGAGCCTGCAGGCAGCAGGGTGGAATGGGGGGATTGGGAAGGTGGCGGGAGGAATGGTGGGAGGTCAATGGACCCTCCAAAGGCAGAAGCAAGGTCTCAGCAGTGGTCTGGGGCAAGAAACCTATTTAGGAAACCAAGCTTTGCAGGCAGTGGAAGACTCTGGTTGGGAGTTTGTACCTGAATCTCTAGGGGATCAAGGCAGCCCCTCTCGTTATCCAAGCCTGTGTTTGCCGAATGTGCAAACATTCAGAAGTACGGATCTTAAAAAATGATTAAAAAGAACAAAGCTCCTATAGGGAAAACACACTATTAATCTCGAAAGTTCTCTTCCATTTCTTTACAGCTGCTCCTCTCCAATAAAACAACACACGGTGGTTTTGTTTATTTTAGCATATTACAGTTTTGATAAAGCCCCAGATCCTTACATCAAATATATTCTTCAATGTCAAAAGGACATGCAGAGCAATGTTTCCTAATGAAGGGTTTATCTTTTATCTGACATTGATGATTTAGCTGGTGCTGATCTCTTCATCCTCTTTTTCATTTAAAAAAAAAAAGTTGAACAAAATTACCTTTCTTGGAATAACAGCTCCTTTTAAAACCTGACTGCTTTGTCATTACCTCTGTAATCTCCCTTGGAGATCATGGGCTATTCATTTCCTCCCTAACTCCAATTTGCCTTTTGATATTTTTCTTTGGTCTGTTCAAACAGTCCTCCGGTTGCCCAGCTCATCAGAGTGAGGCCTTAGAATGAGCAACAGTCCACTGCCATGGCAAGTCACCTGCGGCGTGTCACCCACGGCGTGTCACCCAGAGGTCAGCCAGCTCTGGGGCCCCTCCATGCACCACGGAGGTGCTTTGAAAATGGTCTAAGCTCTTCTCGTTAAAGCTTTCCCTAGCTCTTACCCCTGTGATATCTTTTATCTATATATCATGTCAGAGGCCGCAGCCTCATAGTCCTAAAAAAAAAGTATCTACTGAACCTCTAAAAAAATGAAAACCTGACAAAAGGAAAGGCTGGAAATATGACATGGTTACCTGTGGACCCTCAGGGCCCCATGCACAGCTATGAGGGGAGTTCCCTGCACGAGGGGCCCTGGTTGAGAGGTAAGTGGACCTAAAATTCAGCCCACGTAGAGCTGCGTGTGCCTAGAGAGGGTGGCTTTTCCCACTTTGGACCAAGCGCCATCTGGATTGCCAGTATCTGGGTTCTTAGTGGGTAGTTTCTTCCACATGATGAATTGAGCCAGTGGGTTAGGTTAGATTGTTGTTTTTTCTCATTGTGTGGAGTTGTTGCTCTTTTCTTCTTTGGTTATTTTTTTTCCAGTCCTTTTTTTTAATTTAAAAAAATTTTTATTTTATATTGGAGCATATTTGATTAACGATGTTGCATTAGTTTCCTGGAGTACAGCAAAGTGATTCAGTTATACATATACATGTATCTATTCTTTTTCAAATTCTTTTCCCACTCAGGTTATTATACAGTATTGAGCAGAGTTGCCTGCGCTATACAGTAGGTCCTTGTTGGTTATCTATTTTAAATACAGCTGTGTGTACATGTCAATCCCAAACTCCCAATCTATCCCTCTCCCTCACCCTTCCCCCCTGGTATTTGGTTATTTTTTTCTTGTATTTCATCTATGTGATTTGAATCTTGCTGTCCCCTGTGGAAAGCTGGACAGCCCCTGGCACAGCCATGGTTCAGAGGGAGCACTGCACACACAAGAAACCTCACCCACCTCTCTCTGCCTCTCTTCTTACACGTCCTCTCAAAAAGAAATTTCTTTTCAACTATGTTTAATCAGTGGTATGGATCCAAGTGCACTGGCTTAGTCCTTATTAGATTTTGAATGCACAATCACATCCCAACTCATTAGTGACAAGAAAGCTGAGCTGTCAAGCATGGCTTCTGAAACTCTAGGGAAGGGGTCTGTATTAGAGCAGCGTCCAGGATCCACACACAAGCTGAGCTGGCTTTTTCTTTTCTTTTAAGCTTTATTGATCTCAGGAAGAACTGAAGGCTGTTGAAAAAGGTGGGAATCAGCTCAACATACCAATTTATGTATTATTTATGGACTTAAATAAGCCTAGACTCGCAGCAATAAAGAAAAATTAATTCATGTGATAGAACTACCACTGTATTCAATTCCAACGTTAGAAGCGTGTCACACAAAGACAGAGATCTTGCAGGGTGGAGAATGGGGTAGTGGAAGCAATGTGGAATTTTAGATCAGACAGCACCACCTCCCCTAAGACCTGGAGCAAGTTCCAAGATCTCTCTAGGCTTCAGTTTTCTCATCTGTAAAATGGACAGAAATATCGATTCTCAGGGTTGTTGTGATAATTACATGGGAGAAGTAATAGAAACTCAAAGTGGTTACAAGTTCCTGTTGTGGGTATCCTGTGTGAGGAGGGGTGCAGCTCCTAGACTCTTGTCACAGAACAGTCACGTTTCCTGACTTAAGGCCCATGGGAAGGGGCAACTCTGGCAGCAGGAAAGAACTCCCCCATTTTTACTCCAAAGGACATAAGAAGAAAGACCTGCTCCACTAACAGGAAACAGCTCTCTCTTGCTCTCTCTCTCTCTCCCTCTCTCTATCTCTCTCACTCTCGCTCTCTCCCTCCCTCCCTCAATCTCTTTTCTGAAATAAATACAAAACTGGCTCAATCACCCACCTACCGTATAGCAATAAGTCCAGTATTTTTTCTAACTATACCCTCCAAGTAATGGCCAGTCTGCCTTCCACGCTGGGCAAGGAGAGCCCTGATCTCCAGGTGGTCCCCTCCTGCCCTGGCTTCTTGCTGCCACCAGAGCAGCTGTTAAAATCTGATTGTCCACAGCCTGAGATGCCCATCCACCATGTGCTGATCCAATACCCTTGGTCAGTGGACTTCAATGCCAAGTTCAGCAAAGGATGCCCACCCCAACGTGGGTTCCCAGGACAGCACTTCTTAGCTAATATTCTGCCTTCCCTTTCCACCCATTCCCCAGACATCAAAGTTTCAGGAGCTCTTTATCAGAATTAGTTCATGTGGCTAGAACCCTCTGACCCTTTCAGTTCCCTGTTATCTATGCCCTCCAAGGTCAAGGTGAGTTGCTGTTGTTGTTGTTGTTGTTGTTTCAGCTTTGAAATCCAGTGGATCTCCTAACAATCAAGGAGGGCTGTCCTGACTGTCTTCAGGGAGCTGAGCCCTCACCTACTCCGCCAGCTCCCCTTCCATGTCCTTCCCTGTTCCCTCCCCCACCTCCCCCTTCCCTTCCCCTTCCCAGTGCCAACTCCATCTTCTCTCCTCTCCTGCCCATCCCCCTGTCCCCAAAAAGGACAAAGCTACCTCCTGAGTTTCACCCCAGGGATTTCATCTCTCATGAAAACCCAACATATCTTCAGTGAGACATTTCACTACAAATATAACATTTATTGAAAGATTATTATGTATGACAAACACTGTGCTAAATATTTTAGGTCCCTTATCTCCTTTAATTCTCACAACTACCTGGTACAGGTATTATACTCTCCATGCTACATATGAGAAACTGAGATTTAAGAAGCTAAACAACTCATCCAAGGACACAGAGCCTCTAGGTAGCA